GCCAGTGCATTCCTCACATGATCAGCAGAAGATTAAATATTGAGACTTCTTTGAGATTTTCTTTGCATCTTTTTCAGGTAATGCTCTTTAAGGGATTTTACAGTATAGGCCAAGTACCTTCTGCTCTATCAGCTCTTATTGCAGAGGAAAGAACTTGTCCTTTTCTTGTTTAATATTCTGAACCAAATTCTTACTCTGGTGAATAACACATAAAAAGAAGGGATACCATATTGATATGCATACCATATGAAAAAAAAAAATATTAATATTTCCATTGTCTGATACCTTATCTCAACCAGCAATTAACAAATGTGCAACTGGCAGTCTTCTGAATTTGTGTAGCTTAGTAATAGAAAACAAAGCAGCAACAACATGGTGAGGTTAGGTTGTTGGTTTTTAATATTAGAGCAGAGTTTAGTAGATGAGTGCCAAATCACCAAGGTTCTGTCCACTAATACCTACAAGGCTTTCAGATGATACCCTGAAACATGAGCTGCACAAGTCCAGCTTGTTGATCACCAAGTTTGAATTAAGTTATTTTCCAGGTAATTGTAAAGCAGATATAGTGTTGGGTCTTTCCAAATTGTCTGATGAAAATTTAGGGTACAAAGCCACCTGAATTACAAGAAACAAGGTATCCACATCAGCAAAGCTCCAAGCCCAGGACTCCTCTGCACTTTACAAGACCCATTAGCACCTTACACCCAGGCACACAGACTTCCAGCACAGCCATGCTCACTTTGGGGACTTTTGCATGCTTAGCACTGTATTAGCCAAACTTCACAAAGAGTAGATGTACAGCGAGTGCTAAAAGCAGGGCCTTAGAAGGTAGAATATGTACATCTTCAATCATCACATTCTTCTCCCTGCAGCAAGGATTTGGAAAAAGAGACCAAGGTCATGCTACATAACTACAAAATTGCTTAGCCAGCCCATCTATAGATGAACTCTCCAAGGAAGTTGCTTTAACCCCAAGGCCATATTCACAGCTGTAAGACTTCTACATGGCCTAGAGAAAAGGATTCCTCATTCAGCCTCCAAGACATTTCCCAGCACAAAGCCCAGCTGCTTGAGCTGGGAATAGTTTGGAATTACAGCTTTCAAAATCCTGCACTTTTTACAGTTAATTGAAAACCAAATTTGATGGGAACATACCACAGAGAAGTCAAATAAAACAGAAATGTGGTTTGTATGCTTCCTCTGGACATGCATGAAGAAAGGAGAACCCAAACAGAAAAAGGCTGTCATTTTCACTTACTATTATAAGCAAATCATAGGCTCTATACAACAGATTTAAATTCTCTAGACAGAAGTATGCTCTCATACATATCTCTGACTGAAAAAAATAAAAATAAAAATCTGATAATTCAAGCTGAAAACATATAAATCAGAGTTACGCACCCTACCAGTTACCTGGCATTGTCAGTGGCCACCTCAAACTGATTAGAAGGGAAGTAGAGAAGGGCAGCATTTCAGAGCAAGCTGCATCAGCACAGCCTGACAGCTACAGACAGGCAGTGCCACTTGTCTGCTCCTCACTGAGAGCTGTCCCAGCCCCAATAGCCAGCTCTGCTCTACCATCTCACCTTCCTTACCTGCATGTAGGAAGGCTATGATCCCTTCTTCAAGAGAGTGTACACCAGGGAACAGAATACCTAAATTCCAAGGAGCTCTTTAAGCCCCTACCTGAAAATTAAATCTCTCCCTCAAAACATTAATTTTGCATTTAAAAAATACATGTGCATGTGAGTCTAACATACAGTAACCTTTGTATAACAAGTAGAAAGAAAATCCACGCAGAGGTGGTGAGTTTTTAGGCTTCCTCCTAGTTTCAGGGTTACTGGAATAGCACCTGCTTTGCCTTTAGAGATCTCTTCTCCTCTGACACCACGCACTAATGCAGAAGCAAAATGGAACTAGAGGTGCATCGCATACCAAGATGTATGCACAGTATATTCATTTAGTCACTCATGAGCTTCCTGAACTGTATCCTGCTTGCCACACGAACAGCTATTATTCTTCATCTGTTTTCTTGTGTAAATATTCAGGAGGAAAAAAAGTGTTCTTCCAGTGCTTTGGAATGTGTGTTTTGGGCAAGAAAGTATTACATTGGATTTACTGTACTTTGATACTTCTGTCTCAGTTACTTGAGATCAAAGCCAAACTCCCCCTTACAGGGAGAAAGTCACCTTAACCTAGAGTTACACTGTGCTAGTGGTATTTACATTTGGATACTATCAAAGAAATCTCACCATCACTAAACCATATAAAATATTAACCAAATTCAGTATTTTCTGTTGATTAAATCAGCTGTCCTGACTTTTGTTTCTATACACTGGACGACATAGATACCAAATGCAATTGTTGGCCCTACATTGCAGCATGTTGTTCTATGATGTGCATCTGGTCTCCAGGATAGTTTGAAACAACTGCATGAAGCACTACATAGTATAGGTCTTGGCATATTTTCTACAATACTATATAGTGATTTGAGCCACAGATGTTTATTCCCACAGGAGATGTTACTAAGGACAAGGAGTTGTGAACATACCATAAATGGTCCTAAATCTTCAACAGGAACACAGTAGTTTTTCATTTTTACCATTAAATATGATTATAGCAATTAACCCAATACTTATAAAACACAGTTATATTAATTATAGGGTGTAAATTGATAGTCTATCCAAAACGTTAACCATTCTGTTGTATGTTGGGTTTCTGCTTTATTGTCTCTGGTACAGAGTCATTTCATTAGAAGAATATGTTTCTGGAACCACTCTTCTGGCAAAGGAAACTCCTTCAGGAATCTTGGTTACAGACCTATTGGGTCAGATTATCTGACAGGTTAGTCTTTCAACACTTCCTGAACGCTGGGGAAAATACTACGCTTTCTGCTGGACAATCAAAGCAGATAAAAAAAAAAAAAAAAAAAAAAAAAAAAAAGCCCATTTCTTGAGCTGAGTGTTTTTCGTTTTTTGTTTTTTGTTTTTTTTATAAAAAAAAACTTTTCCTTTTACAAGTTTAATTTTTACTCACAGCTTCTCATGATGTGAGCATGCAAGATGGGGTTTAAACCCTTTCCTTTTACAGATTTTACAGAAGTTTACAGATTTTACCTCCTTCAAGCCCTTAAGATTTTCATACAAATTGCTTCACCAGCTATTTTGATAGCCCTTATCAAGCTTTCAGAAGAGACATAGCAGCGGGGTTTTTTCCTAAAAATCTCATCCTTTGTCTCAGTAGTTGGAACCAGGCTCCTTTGAAAAATCTGCCTGCTAGATTACTGTTTGCCACTGAATCTTGAATATTTGGATTGCCTATGTAATCCAAACTGCATAAAGAAGTAGTGATTCTATTTTCAAAAGAAAGTAGAGCTGAAGGGTCAGACAAATCAAGCTGTAGTGCCTCTTGCCTTTCTTCTTCCAAAGGAGTGGCTAATGACTTTGGGAAGACTGGAAAGAGGTCAAGTATGAATGCACAATTAAAAGAAGAAAAATCTTCCACACCAATTATAGCTTCTGTGGTTTTGGCTAGAACCCAGAACCCTGCTACCAGGGGTAGCCCAGTGACTTTTCTATTTCCTAATCACTCTACAGGGTCAAAAGAATGGATGCATGCAATCAGTTTGCTATTTTGTAAGCCTGGAAGAAATGGGATTGGCAGACAGTCTCAGAAATTCAGTTAGAATATAATTAACAATAAAATAAACTTTTCCTAAAAGAAAACTACTCAGGCTTCAAAACCCTCTCACATTGGGGTCCACATACAAACTATGTTTCTATCTAGCTCCCCATCACTACTACCTGCAGTGCTATCATTACTTCACAAAAACATTCAAAAACAGAAAAATAGAATAAAGCAACCAATTCTACCACCCTATAAAGCACTAGGCTTGGCATGTTCACAGTTGCCAAAGTCTACTGTTTTTCAAACTAGTTAGCACACATGAACTCCCTTTTCAGTTGATACAGAATTGCAGACATCCCAGCAGCATTCAAGGAGTTCTCCAATGCAAGAACCTGTGGTGCATTTACTGAGGGTTCTGCCTTGTCCGAGGACTGTGGAGAGTTTCAAACCCTGACAATGTTTTAAGAATTTCCAGGTGAGTGAGGAACATCAGTCTTTGTTAAGGGTATGAAAATCTTAGTCAACATTGAAAAAAAAAAAAAGTCTCTGAATAGAAGCAGACATTTAAGGAAGAGCCATTCCGCTTCCAGCCACACACAGGACCATCACAGCTGCTGTACTGCTTTTACAGTAAGGTACTATCTGTCTTTCAGGGTCTGTCACCAATGCAATGGATGAAATCCACAGCCCTCACAAGGCTCCTTTGTGCTGCTGCAGGTCTGTGGTTCCACCTCCACACCACTTAAGCACTGGAGCAGTTGAAAGGTAGGGTGGGAGGAAAGGGAGCACAAAACATTCTTGTGATCCCAGCTGGAAAAATGGCTCCTCTGAAAAGACATCCATGTAGCTGCTGTAATTTGGAGTAGGAAATGTTTTCTTCCACAGAGGTAGTCAGAGATGTACCAGTATCTTATTTATGTGATAAAAAGATAATGATGTTTTCCATGCCTTTTTCTGCAGAGATCATGAATAAAAGAGTGGGACTAAATCATGTTTGAAGTTCTGTTTTCTCACTTACTGGTTTATGTAACTGTGATCATCAGCACTTTAAGAGTTAAGCAGAGAGAGTTAAGCACTTTAAGAGTTACCACAGATCTTTCCAGTTCACTACTAGCAGTTAGATCTGAGTTTGAATATAAGTTGAAAACGTGAAATGATCTGAAGCCCAAATGGCTGCTTCTAATGCATTTTTATTTACTCTCTCAAGAGCCCTCTTCACATCTCTCATTAAAATATGTACTACATTCAAATTAAAGCCTAAGATATATATATATAAAATCTCTTTCCATTTCTCACCAATTGAAATGATTTATCTGGGTTAGGCATGAGCCCAAAGGATATGATCTATGATGTCAGAAATGGCATTAACTTACCACAGTGATAAATAGCCAAGGTAATGCTCATCTTAAACTGAATACAGTTGGTTTTCCTCTTCAAGTAGACAACTGAAAAAAAATATTAGTTTGTATCAACAGAATTGAAGAGGCTTACAAGTGGAATTTCCTTTTGGATTTCCCAATTTCCTTAAGAGAATTAATACATTATTTCTCAATTACATTCTACATTTTGGCATAGTTTAATGCAGTGAGAGGAGAAACTCATTAAAAGTGTGGTAAATGGACCTATATGGGAAGAATACAGCAGGCAACAATCAGAGCCTGGATGTGACTGCAGGTCTCCACTTTCTGTTTTTTTGTTTTGTTTTGTTTTGTTGTTTGTTTGTTTGTTTTTGTTTGTTTTTTGTTTTTTGTTTTAAAAAAAAAGTTCCAATTGGAAATAATTGGAAAAATGTATACTGAGCAGACAAAGAGCCAGCAGGAAGACTCATAATTAGCATAAACAACAGGATTCAGGCAATAGTTGGCATGTACCACTATGTCTATTGATTACCTTTAACATGCAGCACATCACACAACATAGCCCCAGTCTTGCTGCTCCCAGCACAAGGACACCTGCAGTGATGTGGGGCCACAGCATTGCCAATATCCCAGAGGCACCCCTAAGCAGCAGCACTGCATACAACCAGATGGAGTCTCATTAAATCATGTACCCTGAGTGCTCTTGAATAAGCAAATGGATAGCTATTTCTGCAGAACAGCATCGATGGAACAAAAAGTATTAAAAAATGAAGCCACGAAGCCTTCTGCAGCTGTAAATTGTAATTCCTTTTTGAGACTTTAAAAGTTATACTGTAAGTGAAAATGCTATCACTTCTTGCAAGTTCTTACATTACTTAAAGCAAAATGCAGAGAAAACATTCAGATCTAGGCTGATGTAGAAATTTATTTTGTGACTAAGCAACCTATTGTCCTTTCTATCAGTCCAGCTGCACAAATGCAGTAACAAGCTTAATAATAATAATAATAATAATAAAGTAAAGGCAGCTTCTTAGTGAGATCCAGATGCTTTAAATAAATTGCTCTTCTCCTTAAACACCTCCCAAGCCATAGCTAAATAGGAACTTAAGCATGCTTATGAAGTTCTGCAGAATTTTATTTGTTTTCCAGCGATTAGAAGTTACCATGCCTGTGTGGGAATTGGAAGCACACTAGGTTTTCCTATCCATAATAAAGGTAATTACAACAGAACTGATGCCACCTTAAGATTAGGGGATCATATATTTTATGATTCTGTTTATACAGTAACGTATTGTGCTGTTTACCTTGGCTAGGCAATGTGCATACTGGGACTGCTTCTTATTATATGAAACTCGATCTTTTCACTGTTACCATGTCCTTTTCTGGCCTCTAACTCTACCCCTTCTGAACTACTTCTTTGTGAAGAGTTTTTTCGTCTTTATCTCTTAGAACACATCATCTTACCAAAATATATTTGTTTGCACGCAAATATGTTGACTGAAGCTAAACCTGAGCATACATGAGAAATTATGCTAATAAAAATGACATTATTTCAAGGTGATTTTAGTCAGAGCTGTAGCAGAATACAATTTTGTTTTCTGCACAAAGTAAAAAGCTTAAAGCATGGGAGAAAACTGTAGGGACTGATCACACAGCAAAAGACTGATACCATAATAGGCATGGGGAAAAAGCTAACTCTGTCCTGCTGTTTTATGCTTGTAGTGTTCAACTTCGCAACAGCAGCTTCCTTTTTAATATAAGTTTTGTAACAGGCATTTGCCATACGTACTGCCAACAATTACACCTCAGCAGGAGGTTAGCCAAATGCAGAACATGCTTGCCTAATTTTTTGTTGACTCAGATTGCCCCGTTAGGAACTGGCTGTGGCAACTGACATGAGGAACACACCACAGTAGCTGGGGCTGTGGCAGCAGCAGCTGTTTCTTGTAAAGCAATGCTGGTGAACGTTTTATTGCTGGTGAAATAGTATTCTGCCACTCACGAAACAACTAAGAAATGCCTCACTGTAAGCAAATAAAGATTCTTAGCCCATCCATAAATATGGATTTCTTAACACCTGCCTTAGTTTTGAGAGTCAGAAAACAAGAATAAAATTCCATAGAAGTTTCATTAGTGACAGATCTTTTAACTGGTGGTCTGCAAAGTAATTTTATTGCTATATTAAAGGGGAGATTGCATTGTAAGTTTTTTTTTTTGTTGTTTGCTTGTTTGTTTAGTAAAAATATATTTGAAAGGAAGGAAAGGGCTAGGATATTTGAAGGTCTCAGAAAAGTTTCCACTAATTCATCTGGAGTTCTTGTTGACTGGTGCTTTAAACATGCCAGAATCTGGTAGAGTTCATAATCAGAGCTTTTTTAACAGCTGTTAAGTTGAGTTAAAGAGGGTAAAAGATGCTATTCGAATGTAGATATTGAAATTGAGCCAGATTCCAGGCACCTCTATTCCTTAAAGTTTACAAGTCTGTTTTTGTAAACTTACAGGAGGTAAAGTTCAAATCCATACTTGTGATTAAGTAGGTACAAAAATAACCTTCCAGTTATATATCTGAAAGCCTGTTTAAAATGCAGACTGATGTGCTTCCAGAAGCATCTCACTAAAACTTTAACATACAAAGAAAGTGTGGAGTTACTCCCCATCTTCAACAACTTTCTACATTCCACTAACCCTGTCACATCCACTGTGCCACAGGTGCCTGATCCCTTGACATCAGGATCTTACTAGAAAATACACCTTCTTTCAGCAGGGTATCCTGCATCAAATGACAGGCACCTGGGATAAAGATCACACCATGCTAAACCTTAGAGTTGGCTATGTCCCTTGCTAAGTGTTGGACTGCTAATTGCAGGACTCACTTCCACCTCCAGTAATCAGACAGCACGCTGGTGCTTACAGCCACTGGCCCTCCAAACCACAATTGGGGACAGCTGCTGCTGAGCACTGCTGGTGCTCTTCAGGGTTATCTTCTTGCCTCAATGGGAAGAAATCCTGGAGGATTTGTTTTTAATCCCTTAAAAAGTGCTTTGTAAAGGTTATGACCACAAGGTAGGCTGAAAGAAAATACTCCTGACAAAACCCATTCTTAAATTATTGCCTGCTCTTTGCTAGGTAGGCTGAGTACCCCACCTGCTCTTATTTCCTATTGCTGGAAACTTGAGTACAGTGTATACAGACTTGAGCACATTTCAAACTCAGCATAGCTGCACAAGGTAACTGGTGTTTTCTTAAAAGATATCACTTCAATAGATTAGCAGGTTCACAGCTGAAACAACAGAACATAGTTGCTTGCTAAAGGACATGGAGAATGTTTAACACGTACTACAGATGGCAAGTGACAAAAGACCACGGAACCAAAACTGATTCATTCCGACAGGGTCTTGAATGAAACTGCAGCCCCTGCCAGGAAGCAGAGCTGTCAGAAACCCCAGGGCACGGCTTCTCACAGCCAGCTCCAGTATTCCCCCTCACGTCCCCAGCCACAATGCCACATCACATTGCCACCTAGTGGACACCAATATTTAATACTCAACCCTCAGTCATAGGAGCATAAATAGTTTCAGGTTTTTTTTTTTTATTAAAAATAATAACAATAATAATCTTACTCTTTTCAGTTCAGTCCCAGACTAAAGCACTGCATATAAGTGCAGGAAACACCCAAACTAGCAACTTCAGCTTTTACTGGTTTGTGAAGGTGTTTGGAAATAATGATTCCTTCTCAAAGTCAAAAACGCATAAAACCGTATAGCTAGCAACTAGATTTTTAATTAACAGATTGTTTTTTAGTTATTCTATCGTGTTGTTGAAGAAATTCCTCCATTCTAAAGCAATACAAAGCTGCTCATAATTAAAACCTGTTTAAGGGCATTACCCCTAAGAGAAAAAGACCTCTGGAAGTTTTAGCACAGCTTCTTACAGCAGCCAGGCAGGTTTTGTGTGAGAAATTTAAGATGTGTGGTACGCATCAAGATTAATGTGTACATAGAGAGGCAGATGCTGCTTGCACTGACACTGTTCTTGCCTCACTTCTGGCTACAAGATGGGATATAATTAAGAACGGAAGTACTGGAAGTTAAAAACAGTAGATGCTAATTTGAGAAAAGGCATCTCTGGTGTATGTAAAAGCTTCCAACTTAAGAATGACATCTAGTCAAGCACAACAACCTGCAATTGGATCTGTATCTTAGCAGTTACCTGATGCCTACATTTTTATCCTACAGGAAAACACTAGAGAAAATAAGTTCACAGGCTTTTACTTTGAAACTTCCATTTCTATCCTGCCTATGGCTCACTAACTTAATGAGGAAGCACACGAAGAAAATGGTTAAGACTGAGAAGAAACTTTTTAAAATAGCCAGAATCCCCTGCTCCACAGAATCCAATACAGCTCTCTTACAGTCCTCTTAAAAGATCTTACAGATCTCTTATGATCACTTCACACCCTCTTTGCATTCTTATTTTGTGAGCTTGCTGGCCCCCAGCCCAGCCCGTCAGAACCAGGTAGTTGAATAGTTGTAGCTTGACAATTGCCAGTTCAGATGTCAAAAAGTGGCACTTTAAGACAGAAAGCCAGCTGCGAATACCGAGTTGTGCAAGTGCCCACTGGAAAGAATAAAATCATAGGTTTGACCATACTTCACCCATTTATTTTGAACAAACCTAGAAAAATTGGTGGTTTTGACTTCAGCTTCAAGAGCATAAATCTAGATCATCTTGACCAGAGCCTTTGATGTCAGTAAAGTCATGCCTAATTTACCCCAGCAGAACTGAAATTAGAGTCTAGCCCAAGGGTAAAAATGACTTTCAAGTCACCCAGCCTGGTCCTCGCCCTGTGCAGGTTTGTAGCTGCACCACTGTGACTCTATCCTTATACCATCCCTTCCTTATGACTTGAAGTTTGTCATCATTTCCTTCTAACCACAGGGTAGGAGAGACTTTCAGGGTCAGAGCTGATCATGGGACTCTGGTCTGTGAAGGGAACTTTTCTCCCAGCCTTCTCACACAATAGCATTTATCTGCATTCTCTAATTACATATAACTACAGCTGAGTAAAATCCGAGAAACCCACTAGACAGGATAACCTACATTTTCTTCAAGTCTAAGGAAAGTCAATGAGTAGTTCTGAAGTTAAAAAAATAAATAAATAAATAAGAGCTGTATGTGCTTTGGTGTTCTTAAAACTATATTTTTTCAGGTCAGAAGGACTAATGCAAGTCACACTATTCAGGGAAGGAGGCACTGAGTGACAAAAAAGGAGGATGATAAAGCAGGAGCAGAAGAAACTAGATCAAGTCAACAGAAAGCAAGTTCATGATTGGATTTGGCTGCCAAAATATCCTCCCATATCTCCCTCTCCTGACCTTTAGTAAATTATATCCTATGCTGTTCTGTTTCCCCATGGAGCCATAATGAACATTTACTTTCCTCTGGCTCAAAGAACATGTTCAATAGAGGAAAGCCAAGCAATCTAAAAAAGGTTTTCAGAAACAGACTGACAGATCCACAGTCACTGGTTGCCATACCAGGGTCTTTAGCGAGCATATCCCAGGGCAGATGAGGGTCCGCACTGAGCACATTTCATGATGGCTCCTCCTGGGGGGCACCAAACGGGCTGTGAAACCTCAGGAACCGAAAACGTGACTGGAAAAGGCCACAAGCACCCTGCTCCAATATCAGCAATAGCCCGGCTTGGACACAACAGCTTCCTGAAATCCCTTCCAATACAAATATTCAAAGATTCTACCAACATCTTTAAAATTTCACTTCTTTTTAACCGGAGTTAAACAAGG